TCACATCTGCAGGCATCTCTTGCTGTCACCTCTTCATGTCTCATGCTCCACTCATGCTATTCCTTCTTGATGTTCCTGAGATCTCCTGTCTCTGCTTCTGAGATGGCTCCTTTTAAACTGACCTGGAGGGCAAAACTAACTCATCCCAGCCTCACCTCAGAGTCCTTTATACCTTATTTGCTTATTACTTGGTGGGAAGTTAGACTTTGGATAGAAAAGCTGCATCAAGGCACCACAGGGCACAACTCAATAAGAAGAAACACCTATTAATAATCGGAATGTGGAATGTCCAAACTATGAATCTAGGGAAATTGAATGTTGTAAAAAATGTAATGCATAAGAATGGATATCCTAAGCTTTTATGAGCTGAAATGGACTGATATGGCCATTTTGAATCGTTCAATCATGGTTTAGAATGCCAGGAATAACAAATTGAAGAGAATATTGCCACACTCATTGCCAAAAAGAGCATTTTAAGATCTATCATGAAATACAATGCTGTCTATACGCATACAAGGAAGATCAGTTAATACTGCTATTTAAAATTTTTGCACCTACCACTAAAGCCAAAAATGATGAAACTGAAGAATTCTACCACAGTCTTCAGGCTGAAATTGATCAAACATGCTATTAAGATGCATTGATAGTTACTAGTGATTGGAATGTGAAAGCTGGAATTAAAGATAAAAAATCAGTAGTGGGAAATATGGCCTTGGTGATAAAAATGATGCTAGAGATAGCATGAGAGAATTTTGCAAGACCAACAACTTGACTTACTTTTCAATAACTTTTTTGGCAACATAAACAATGACATTACATTACACCAGGACCTCACCAAATGGAATACACAGGAATAAAATTGACTACATATGGGGGAAGAGATGATAGAGAAGTTCATTATCAGCCAAAACAAGGCCATGAACAGACTGTGGAACAGACCATCAGCTGTACATACACAAGTTCAAGCTGAAGGTAAAATTTAAAACAAGTCCATGAGAGCCAAAATATGACCTTAAATATAACCAACCTAAACTTAGAGACCATCTCAAGAACAGATTTGATGCATTAGACACAAATGACCAAAGACAAGAAGAGTTGTGGGATGACATTAAGAACATCTTACATGAAGAAAGCCAAAGGTCATTAAAAAGACGGGAAAGAAATGGAAGAGCAAAATGGAGGTCAGAGTTGAGATTCTACAAGATGGTGGACTAGGCAGATGCGTTACACGGAGACTGTACAACAAAGATATGAGAGACCTCCCCAAAAAAAATGAACACAGATGAAAATTCTGGCTATCTGAACTTTAGAGTGAAGAAAGAAGAAAGGTTAGAGAGGTGGATGGAGTGCTTGCTGGGAGGAGAGGCCATGTAGGGACAGTGAGAGAGGAAGATTGACTGGTGAATGGCTGGCCAAACACAGGTCCACCATCTTGTGAACAGATTTGGCAGCTGAGGGGCTCACTCATCTATGCCAAGAAATTTGGAAGACAGCTACCTGGCCAATCAATTAGAAGAGATCCATATTTGTGCCCATTCCAAAGAAAGGCATGCCAATAGAATGTGGAAATCATTGAACAAATTCATTAATATCACTTGCAAGTACAATTTTGCTGAAGACAATTAAAAAATGGTTGCCACAGTACATCAACATGAAGTTCCCAAAATTCAAGCCGGATTCAAAAAAGGACGTGAAATGAGGGGTAACACTGCTGAATTCAGATGGATCTTTGCTAACACGCAAAGCATACCAGAAAGATGTTTACTTGCATTTTATTGACCACGTAAAGATTTTGGACTGTGTGAATCATGGCAAACTAGGGATAGCGGATAGCATTGCAAAGAATGAATCTTCCAGAACCTTTAATTGTGCTCATGAGGAACCTGTACAGAGACCAAGAAGCAGTTGTTGGAACAAAACAAGGTGATACTGAATAGTTCAAAATCAGGAAAGGTGAGCACCAGAATTAATATCTTTTCACCAAATTTACACAATCTGTATGTTGAGCAAATAATCCGAGAAATGAAATTATATGAAGAAGAATTTAGCATCATGATTGAAGGAAGACTTATTAACAACCTGCAATATGCAGATGACACAACCTTGCTTGCTGAAAGCAATGAAGATTTAAAAATATTTACTGATGAAGGTCAAAGATTATAGCCTTCAATATGGATTGCACCTTAATATAAAGAAAACAGAAATCCTCACTTTGAGAACTAAAGTGCACCTGACTTAAGCCATGGCATTTTCAGTCATCTCATATGCATGTAAAAGCTGGACAGTGAATAAGGAAGAAGACCAACCATCTCTAAGAATTGCTGCATTTGAATTATGGTAATTGATGAAGAACATTGAAAGTACCATGGACTGGTAGCAGAACAAGCAAATCTGTCTTGGAAAAATTACAGTCAGAATGTTCCTTAGAATCGAGGATGGCAAGACTTCATCTCTTGTACTTTGGACAATGTCTGGCTTATGTTGTCAGGAAGTACCAATCCCTGGAGAAAAGACATCATGCTTGCTAAAGTGGAGGATTAGCAAAAAAGAGGAAGACCCTCAATGAGATGGATTGACACATTGCAGCAACAATGGACTCAAACAATTGTAAGGATGGTGTAGGACTGGATAGTGTTTTGTTTTGTTCTGTTGTGCATGGGGTCTCTGTGAATTGGAATCAACTCCAGGGTACTTGACAACAAAAATGACAATTATTAAATCAAATAACAATTTCCGATATGTTGCCACCAACTACCCTAAATGTTCTTGCTTTTGGTGGCAGATGGTTTAAGTCTCAAAAGATGACAAATGATACTGGACAGAAACCTCCAATGTCCTGATCCAGGATGGGGAAACATCATGGCTTGTACCCTAATTCATAAATCCATACTTTAGAATCTGTAATTTGCTTGGAGGTAACAGAAACAATCCTAGCAAGTTAAGCAATAAGGTCAATTTAATGACAGGACAGTCAAGTATCTCAGATTACAAGGACAAAAATGTAGTTGGCTCTCAGGAATGAACTGCAACCAGGGATTCAAACAATCTTAGCAATGTCTCATTTTTTATTTCTCTTCCAGAGGTGCAGACCAACTCCCATTGCTTCTTCAACAGATCTGAGTTATATAGGATATAGGCCCAGACTCCATGTTACAAGTCCATTTTTCCAGTTTTCTTCAGACCAAGAACCTTGCTGTCCCCATGACTTCTCTTTTACTCTCATGTCTGGTACACTATTGGCCTCCCTTGAATTTATGTTCATATTTTAACCACTTCTCACTACTTATGTACAAGCAACCGTCACCTTTTGCCCAGATTATTGCAGTTGTATAACTTTCTTCTTCTATCTTGACTGCCTGTTGTCTATTTTCAATAACAGCAGACAAAAAAGTGCTGCCGCTGTTGAAAATTCCGATTACATCTCCTTTTACAGAGTAAAAGCCAAAGATGATCATGCCTCCACCGTGTCATCTCTATGACTATTTAACCCTTGTTCACTCCTGTCTGGCCACCTTACTATTCTGCAGCTCACCAGTCTCGTTCTGCTATCAGGGCCCTGGAGCTTGCTTATTCTGGAATGTTCTTCCCCCAGATATCTGCATGGCTCATTCCCTCACTTCCTTTGATCTTCATAAATCATGTCAGTGCATCCTTCCGTGGTCAAGTCCCTACCTGACTGACATTTTCATTACCCTTCTGAATAGTTTTCTTCACAGCATTTATTACTATTAATACCCTGAAGATTTACTTACCTCATTGTTGGCCCATCTCCTCTCCACTCTAAGTCCCTGAGAATTGGGATTTTCATTTTTTTTGTTCATTACTATATTCCCAGACTTGCAATAGTGCATAGCACTCAATAAAAAAAAATTTTTTCCTGAATGAATGAATTAAATCACCTGGAGAAAGAGTTGAGTTCTTTCCCTTCCTAAAATAAAACACAGACAACAAAGAATTGCTAGCAGCCTCCAACAGAAATGAGGCAGAGAGGAGCCCACAAGCAGCTTGAAGCCAGCTGGTGAGAAGAGGCTCCTCAGAGCTGAGACCAACCTCCACATTATAGCTTCCAGAACCTTGTTTTCACCCTTGTGCCTCTGGGGTTAAACCTGGACCCTCCTCAGAAACAGAAAAAAAAAATATATATTATTGTAGCATGTATTTTCTGAATACTGTCCCAGTGCTTTCTAGATACAACAATTATAAGTAAATTCAGAGACCTAAAACAACTTTAGTTTTCACTATAGAGTTATATGAAGTTTAGATACCACAGTGTAAGAGCCAAGAAGTAACTTCAGAACCACTCAAGCATTTTGTTACAGGTCCTGAACAGTGGGAAGAGAATTCCTAGTCCATAGCAACTCTCCTTAAAATCCCTGTTTTGTGAATGAGGAAAGCATTTTGGCAATAGCGGTAATTGCTGGACAACACTGTGGATGTTACCAGTGCTACTGAATTGTACATTTAAAAATGGTTAAGATGGCAAATGTTTTGTTATCTATTTTACCACATACACACGTTTTCAAACCCTCTTTCATATCCTATCCACTTCTTTTGTTACAGCTGCTCTAAAATGCCCCCCAATATCCCCTCTTGGAGCCTTAAGTTTGTGCCCTGTACTCTTTCTTTTGATTCTCAATCCCTAAAGTCCCAAAGGTCCAGGTAAAGAAAGAAACAAGCGAGCTGCCAGCATTAACACCTTAGTAATGTTTTGCCCCATCACATACATGGTTTCTCATCTTTGAAGTGGGTGTTGTTCTGACCACTCTACAGAAAAGGAAACTGAAGCTCAGGGAGGTTGCAACTTGCCAGATCTCAAAGCCAAAGCCAGTAGGTGGCCCAGGCTGGTCTCCTCTCAAAACCCGCATGCTCTGCCCACTCTGCCAGGGAGGGCTGGAGTCAAGGAGATGACACGACTTCTTTCCCCCTCAGTCGGCCGGACAGCCACTGCCTCTGAGCAGCGAACAGCCCGGGACCCAGCAGCCCTCCGAGGCCTCTGCAGAATGTCCAACCAGGATCTGAAGTAAGCTCAGGCTGCCACAGTCTGCCCTCTCAGGGCCAGGTTTGGGGTTGCTGTGGCAACAGCACGTCACTCAGCTTCTCTTCCAAATTCCTGAGGTCCTGGGGAGGGGCAAGTTAGGCCTGTTTTCTCCAAATGGAAAAAAAAAAAAAAATGAATACATTTGTAATTGTTGGGAATGTGTCTTGGGTTGCAAATTTTGAGGCCTCTGTGTGTGTTTGTGTGTGTGTGTGTGACTAAGTTTTTACTTGCTTATCAAGGTCCATGTATGGAAAAACTTATATTGCCTAGTTTTATTACTTCCAATTAATCTACTTCTAAATATGTTAGCGTAGTGGTTACGAATCAGGCTGCGAACCTTAGGGTCAGCGGTTCGAAACTACCAGCCGCTTTGGGGGAAAAAGATGAGGCTTTCTACTCCGGTAAAGATTTACACCCTCAGAAACCCTGTACAGGGTCGCTATGGGTCAGAACCGACTCGACGACACTTAACAACAACAAATATGTTACTAACAGTCTGCTTCTGGCCTTTTTTTTTTTTTAAAAAAAAAAAAAACTAGATTCCCTAGAGTCTGAGGAAGCTTTATTTTTGATTTTCAGTCTTCTAGAAATCTTGAACTTAACCATGATAAGAAAGCCCACATATCTGAAGTATTATATTTCTTTACTGTAGCTAAAATTCGATAATCTCTTTATCTCATACTGAGTGTTGCTGTGGAGACAGTCCTGCCTCCTAGCTACCCTCTATAGGGTTCCTGAGGCTGTGAATCTTTCTGGGAGCAGAAAACCTCATCTTTCTCCCCTGGAGTGGCTGGTGGATTCATACTGCTGTGCTTGTGATTAGCATTCCAAAGTGTAATACACTCTGCTACCAAGAAGCCCTTATTGTAAAAAATATCTGTTTTTATTTTAAATTACTAATGATAGCTATTGTTTCCTGAGAGCACTGGCATATTTAACCCCCTTGAGGCCAGTTTTGCAGTGGGAAAGGAAGGATATGAGAAGATGGTGATAGCTCATAAGTGGAACAGCCAGGATTCAAACTCCATTCTGGATGACCTTAAACTTGAAAAAAGAATTGCAGTTTGTTTGAAAACCCTTCCATACTGGCTCCAAGGGCTAGCACAAGTCAGAGAGCTGGTGTTCAGGCCCAAGCTGAGAACTTCCTGTGCCCAGGTGGGGCCCTAAGGCTTAGAGTTGACACTCAAGGGCTCCTTCCCATCAGTCCTTGCAGCATCTTGGCTTTCTGAGCACTTCCTTGTCAGGCCTGGTGAGTGCAGTTCTCCTGAAGCAATGGGCCCCGTTTCCAACCCATCTCTGAACCTAAACCTGAGACAGGCCAGGAACTGCTAGGGATAGGGTAGGAAGTGGGAGAGAGGGGTCTCTGTTCACCTGTGGAGTTGAGGTCCTGGGGGCCTCTATCCCTATTCTTTCTCTGCTCTGTTTCTCTGTTTCTGTGTGCCCTTGCCACAATCTTTTCTCTGTCACCCCACCTGCATCCCTCAGTTCTCTGCCCTTGTCTTGTGCTCTCCTCACTCCATACCTCCCTCCTCCTTACTGCCTCAGCATCACAGCAAAGCTCATCAATGGAGGTGTGGCAGGACTTGTGGGGGTGACCTGCGTGTTCCCCATCGACTTGGCCAAGACTCGACTGCAAAACCAGCAGGGAAATGCGGTCTACAAAGGAATGTAGGTATTGGTGAGGGTGATGGTGGAGCAGGACTCCCTCAGGAGCCTCAGTTTTTCCTCAGTTCCTTTAGGGGTGTGTGAATGAGGGTGTGGGGGGGGGCGGATGGCAAGGCAGTCCACTGGAGTGTGCCCAGGTGGACTAGGGATGGGGAGGGGGCTAATGGAACAGCCTCCTGCTCAAAACTTCTTTTTCCATAGGGTAGATTGTCTGATGAAGACAGCCCGAGCAGAGGGCTTCTGGGGCATGTACCGAGGTGAGCTCAGCAGGCTTCCCCAGGGAGGAGGGGGCCTGGAGCTGGTAGGTGATCCTAGTGTATAGCTGCTGTTCACCAGGCTCAGATTCTTCAGTGGAGATAGAGGTACTTGTGGTTCCTGTGAGGCTTCAGGGAGGCACCAGCAAGGACACTGTGGTGGCCCCTCACAGAGTCCTGGGTTGCAATCCTGGTACAACTTCCTCACTATGTGATGATAAAAGCAGGTGAAGCCCTACCTGGCTTTCTTTTTTTTAATCCCTCCCACCTCCCTTCTCTCCTCTCAGCTACTTCCCAGGGCTGTAGGCACACAGCTATAGTAGCAGGGGGAGAAAGGGAGAGGTTGAAAGAGATGGAAAATGGAAAGGGCTTTGAGTTCCTTTAGGAGTTACGAGGTGGCCCTTCCTTGCACCGCCATGATTATGCTTGGAAATTGGCTGACCTCCTGAAGAATAAAATAAAAGCCCCCAGGAACCACGAAGCTAAGCTAGTGCAGCACAGAGTAACTGAAAAGTCATCCCTGTCCACTGGGGGCTTATTGTTGACCTTTAGACTGGGACTGCTTGGTTATCACCGAAGGTAGGCAGTACCAGCAAGGACAACAGTAGAACGGCATCTTTGCACCTGGACTAACGAGCCCATTAAAAACAAAAACAAAAAACATGAAAAAGAGAAGAAAATGTGGTGGGACGAGGGGTGAAGCAGGGATAAAAAGAAAATGTATGTTTCAATAAAATAAGCCAATGGCGTGCTCCTTGACCCCTGAGACTTAGCCTGCTAGGGCTGAGAGCAGGCTGTCTGCAGGAGTGGCAGACTCAGTTGTTTCTGGGAAGACCCTAACTCCTCATCTGTGATTTGCACTTCCAGGGGCTGCCGTGAACCTAACCTTGGTCACTCCGGAAAAGGCCATCAAGCTGGCAGCCAATGACTTCTTCCGGCAACTGCTCATGGAAGATGGGTACAGTCTGGTGACAAGGGGGCAGGGAGATCCTTCACTGCATGTCTACATAGTGCACACATAGCTAAGGCTTAGTGTGCATGCTGGCAGGTGGAGAAAGAAAAGAAGGAGTGGGCTAGAGCAGTTTTCCTTTCTCTCCATCTTTCTCTGTATGCAGAGATAAATGTGTTGCTGTCAAGTCAGTTCCCACTCATAGTTGTCCTACAGAACTGCCCCGTAGGGTTTCCAAGGCTATAGTATTTAAGGAAGCAGGCTGCCACAGCTTACTGTCATCAACCTTGGTCAGGTGGATTTGGTGTCCAGCACATGGTACCATTACTAACTTGACATACATAGATTCATCACAGTTGCATGAAAGCACACAAAAATGACCTTGGCCCTTGTCTAAGGGTTCCCTTCTTGTAAAGCAGTGGTAACGGCCATGCACCTCTAGCAGCAATGCCTTCCTTGGCCATGGTGGTGGGTTATGGGGGGAGCTGAATCATAAATGCACCCAGGCCTCTGCCTCTGCACAACTCGGCGGTGACAAGGGAAGAACTAGCTGATGAGTTTTAATCAGCCCTCAAAGACCTGTTCTCCCCCATTGACCAATGGTATTGCTTAAAGAACCAGGAAGACTCTAGTACCCCTAACAGGTACTTTCTTTGTTACTGGTTTCAGCTTCTATGCAGGGGCTACCTTCCTAGCTGTCTTTTCAAAAAACATGGTCTCTCGTCTTTAAGGGACCAGGTCTGAGGTCAGGTTATTATTACCTTACTGGGTGAGTGGTAGCTGATAGAGACAGGGCTAAATACCATTCCCAGTAAGTGCCAACCATAAGGGAGGGTAAAAAGGCCAGCGTGGACACAGCCTGACTCCTGATTCCACAGGGCACAGCGGAATCTGAAGATGGAGATGATAGCTGGATGTGGAGCTGGAATATGCCAGGTGGTTGTGACCTGTCCCATGGAAATGCTCAAGATTCAGCTGCAGGATGCCGGCAGACTGGGTGAGCCCTAGCTCTGACTTCACACAGACTCCATAATGGGCTGTGAACAGAATGGACTCCCTGCATCCCCACCCTCCTTCACAAAACCGTGTGACCCAGTCAGTTTTCTAGGAATTGAAGTCTTTATTATTACCATTTTAGATGGCAACATAGCAAATAGCAGACATGAGAATCTTGCTTCAGGAGGGCTGGAGAACCTAACACCTCTGTCATAGGCCTTGGCATTAAGACTTGATTTCCTTAAGGTTTTAAGAAATGCCAAAGGCCTGCTCACCAATACTCGAGTCAACAGGATTTATATGCCATGAGAGTTGGCCTTCAGTAGGAAGGATAAAGAATGGAGAAGGGCCCTTTTTCACTTATTTTGGTGTTCCCTGGAAGAGAAGCTTGGTCCTTTCCTAAATCCTGGCCCTCTCAGAAATTGAGACTGGTGTAGGTGCCAAAGTGTCCAGCTAGGAGCAAGGATTGGCTGTGTGGGAGGTAAACTCTAGCAGGAGACACAGAGTCACGTCTTATCTGGGGCAAAACCGCAGTGTGAGTTAGCTAACTGAATTCAGCACCTGCCATGAAGCAGACAGCCCATGGTAAATGTACGTACCCTTCCCCTCAAACAAGCAAGAACTCAACCAAATTTTTAAGCTGGATTAGGCCAGCCCAAAGCAAATAGTCTGCAGAAAGAATCAAGTTCAGAGACTGGAAAGCCCCCAGAGTGCTTAGATCTGCAGAGTCAAAAAAACCTCATAATGTCTAGTTTCTCAGCTTGGGTGAGAAGCCTTTTTTAAAAAGAAGTGAAATAATGGATTATGTTCACATATGGAAAATAATGTTCACAGTGACTAAGTACTTAAAGTTAATTGAGACAGTACCTAAATTAGTACCACAGGACAATATATACAGTAACTATCTTCCTAGTATGAAATGTGAACCCAAAACAAACTTACCTGTCACCATGGACTTGCTTATGGCTCATAAGCCAGTTTATGTGTGTCATATTAGAATTGTGTTCCAAAGGCTTTTCAATGGCTGATTACCAGTAGATGACCAGGTCTTTCTTTAAAGATGTTTGAGTAGACTCAAACCACCAGCTTCTTAGTTGTTTTTGTTAAGTGCATTCAGTCAGTTCCAACCAGTAGTCACACTGTATAGGGTTTCCAAGGAGCGACTGGTGAGCTTGAACCACCAACCTTGCGGTTCAAACCGACTTTGCAGTCCAGCACATTAACCCATAGCACCACACCACTCCAATCTTTCAGTTAGCAGTGGGCAGGTTAACTAGTTGCAATACTAATTGTTTGAAATCTGCACCTAGATTACTTCCATAGGAAAAAAAAATGTATAGTAATGATCTTTATAGAAATAAATATTAGCCTGCTGGATAGTGAGCAACACTGGGAAATTAAAAGCTTCCTTTTAGCAAGGATTTATAGGCAAACTTCTCAAATACTAAGATATGATAAAATGCTTATTAACATAATCTCAGTACAGTAAATACTGTGTTTGTTAATGAGACTCACCACATTTGAAATTGTTGTGGGAAAAATAAACAAAACATTTGATTTACTCGATGTTGAACTAACTCACCAAATGATGTGCTCTGAGTTAATCAACTAAAATGGACTGTGTAAAGAATCAAGTTCCATCTAATGAAGAGAGTTGTCACAAAGAGCCAAAAGACCCTTGGACAAGGAATTTTGGAGTACTAGAGGGAGGAGATATCCCTGGTAGACTGAAGGGGAGAGTTTGGGGAGAAACCAAGGAATCTGCTGCTTTACATGTTGTTGTTGTTAAATACTGCAGAGTCAGGTCCGTAGCAACCCTGTATAGGGTTCCGAGGAGCAGCTAGTGGGTTTGAACTGCCAACCTTTCAGTTCAAACTGACCTTGTGCTCCAGTGTTTTAGCCTTCAGCAACAGACCAGGACCCCACTTTACACATTAGACAGGAGCTATATGGCCCAGGATCGGACATTGTTTCGTTCTGCTGTGCATGGGGTCGCTATGAGTCGGTTCCGACTCGATGGCACCTGACAACAACAACAGCAATATGGAATTCCTATGTCCCAAATTATTTAGATAAGGAAGACAGAGATAAAAAACACAGGATTAATAGGGGACTCCTGGTGTGGTGCTGTAAGATAAGCAGTGGACTGCTAACTGCAAGGTTGGTGGTTCAAACCCATATGCCACTCCTTGGAAACCTTACCGAGGATTGCTATGAGTTGGAAAAGACTCAATAACACTTAACAAGAAGAAGCATGGGAATACTGCAAAAGCTTCCTGTAGAGCAGGGTTGAGAACCTTTTTCTGCCAAAATTCATGTAACATTATTTACGGACCATACAAAAATTAACTTAAAAATTAGCCCGTTATATTTGGTCAAACCTTTAATTAAGTCACCCCTGTTGTGGTGCCTGGAGTCCTGGTGTGGCACTGTGGGTTAATGCTGGACTGTAGTTGGTATGAACTGCAAGGTTGGTGGTTCAGTCACACCAGCAGTTCCTCGGAAACCCTACAGAGAGTCACTATGGGTAAGAACTGACTCAACGGCACTTAACAATAATGTGATGGCTGGGACTGCGATTGCCTTGGCAGGACCAGACAAAATGATTTTGAGGTTCTTATACGGCTCTTGAGCCAGACGTTCCCCACACTTGCTTAGAGAAAGCGGGGCTATGTTCATCTAGCACAGCTGCCAAAAGGCCACCAGATCGTGGGATGGCTGGTCAATCTGTCCAATTCAGATGTCCTGTTCTTACTCAGGGGCAAGTTATTAGCTAGTATAGACCTTAGAAAGAGTTCCTCCAAGCCAAATAGAAATGCTCTAAAATTAGGACAGTCCTCAGAAGTATAGATGAGATGTCAACCTTGGCTCTTGAATTGTCCCAGGAGGTAGGAATTGGGAGCCATATTCTAGGGAAACATCTTCCAGATCTGTTGGGGCTGAATTGTGATGGGGATTTGGTCCTTTGTTTTTCAGCCGTCCTCCACCAAGGTCCAGCATCGGCACTTTCCTCCTCCAGACCCTATACTACTGGTTCTTCCTCCACCCACAAGCGCCCGTCTGCCACCCTCATTGCCCGGGAGTTGCTTCACACCCAGGGTCTGGCTGGCCTCTACAAAGGTCTAGGTGCCACTCTCCTCAGGTGAGGTTCTTCGTGAACTTGGAACATAACTAATCCTGGCTTCCTGGGATAGAAGACCAGAGAAATTGCTGCCCCAAACTCAGGATAGCAAATTGTTTCCTTGCTTCCTATTTCATTCAAAATTTGGCAGGATTGTACAGAATGGATGCCTGGAGGTCTCCAGTGCCCATGCTTACTGGGTATTGTGTTGCCCACGATTGTGAATCTTTTATAAATAAATGAGTGAATTTACTCCCTCATTTTATTACTTCGTTTTTAATTGAGCCAAGTTCTTGTTCAAAATTCTTGAGGGTTCCAGGCCAGGGGATAGTTTTCTCCCTTTACCAAGGCAATAAATAAACAAACTGATAGACCTCCACCCTGCAACACTTAGGGCTGTTCCCCAGTCACTTAACCCTTTCCTTAGCCTGCCTACCCCTTTAGTAGAACAGCGTACTAGTCTTTGAACCTGCATGTTTTCTCAAGAGGTATGAACTAGAGGGGTTGATTGGTTGGTTATGTGCCACCAAGTCAGTTCACACTCATAGTGGTCACGTAAAGGGTTTCTGAGACTGTAAATGTTTACGGGAGCAGAAAGCCTTAATTTCCTCCTGTGGAGCAACTGGTAGATTTGAACTGCTGACCTTGTGGTTAGCAACCCAGCTCATAAGCCACTATGCTACCAGGGCTCCTTCTGCTGCCTACCCTCTACATTACCTTGGGGTGTCATTGTAGAATAGGTAACTGTGCCTTGGCTCTGTCCCATCAGACTAGCTCATGAGAAAGAATACTGGGTAACCTTAGCAGAGAGCCCCAGAGCTGCATGCGGCTCAGCGTTTGTTCCTTCTCTCCTGCAGAGACATCCCCTTCTCCATCATCTACTTCCCACTATTCGCCAACCTGAACAACCTTGGGCTCAGTGAGCTTACTGGGAAGGCTTCCTTTGCGCATTCCTTTGTGTCGGGCTGTGTTGCAGGTTCTGTAGCAGCCGTCGCAGTAACACCTCTGGATGGTAAGTGCATGGGAGGCACACGGGCTAATTATCTGGGGCTCAAGGGTTGATGTGTTTGATAATTGAGGTCCTTGTGTAGTAGTCTAACAGATAAACAGAATTTCTGCACATTCAGGAAAAAACTGAAAACCTTAAAAACACTCCTGGGGTCTCAAACGTGACCACTGGCAGAAACGTACTACAAGGCCTCATAGGAAATGAAGGGCCAAGGAGACCTGCAGTCTGTTTTTTATCACAGACAAATTCCTGCACCTTCTAGCTGCTGATTTCATTAGCTTTCTGCCCTCTAGTAATGAGCCTCAGCTGTGAATGATTGTGGCCATCCTATTACGCTAGCACACAGGTAGGGCCTGGGCGTAGATCTTTCATGTTATCCCTTAATTCCCTCCTTTCATGAGGCCCAATGTGGGAAAGATCTATTACAGGCCGTATAATGGCGTCTAACTGGCCTCAGGATTCAGTGTCACGTATGTTGGTTCTATAGCGAACCTCAACCACTTCACATTGAGACACCAAAAGCAAGATGGCCCCTACTTATTGTCACCTTTCCTCTGTTTAGTTTTGAAAACCCGAATCCAAACCCTCAAGAAAGGCCTGGGAGAGGAAGCCTACAGTGGGATCGTAGACTGTGCCAGGTGAGCCCAATGTTCCTCCCCTGACAGCAGCCGGGGTAGTTGCTTCTGAACTGGTGTTGGCCTACACCAGCTCTAGAGACCAGTTTTATCACTGTTCTACACTGAGCTCTGGATTTCCTTGAAATCTGTCACTTTCCTTAGCCTCTCAACAAAAGCAGCGAGTACTGGGAGTTTATTTCTTCTCTTGTATCCCTACACTACATTTCTCCCAAAGATTCTAGCCAGATCAAGCTGTTTGCAAGCTAAGTAACCAAACTGCACACACATCAAGGGCAAGGATGGCTCACACACATCTGGGAGTCGTGAGACTGCTGTGGAGAGCGAGGCCTACCTCAAAGTGCCAATGCTGGAGGAAAAGGGTACAGAACAGCACTGCTAGCCAAGTGCTTCTGCCCTTCCACTCACTGAGCGCTTCCTTCTCCCCAGGAAACTCTGGATTCAGGAGGGATCATCTGCCTTCATGAAAGGAGCAGGCTGCCGGGCCCTTGTCATAGCTCCTCTCTTTGGCATTGCTCAAGGTGTCTATTTCATTGGGATTGGAGAGCGCGTCTTAAAGGTTTTTGAGTAGCTGCTGCCATTTCTCTACCTACCCCATTTTCTCTAGACTAGATGGGGCTCACCCCTGTTGTATTTTGTCTTCTAACTTGTAGTGCTACCTCAATCTGGGAAGAAACCCTATTCTCCCCACATGATAACCACGTTTGCTTCCTTTGGGGATATATCTACAAGGGAACTCCAGAAGCCCTTAACCACTCTTACTTTTCAATAATAACAAATAATGGTACCTGGTTTGGCTGTACTAATGGCAGGGTCTTAACACACAGTAAAGGTAGAAGGGTTGTTTCTACGTTTTATTTCATACTCAAACTCCATGTACTCAAGTCAATTTTAAGATTTCATTTTGCTAATCCCAAATTCAGTAATCTACGGTTAATCCTAGCACTGATTTGGGGGAAAGGAAGACCAGAAATTCAAAGGGACCACAAAAGCCCTTAAAAGTCAGGACTGAAGTTTGTAACCAAGCAAACCTTTTCAAACCTTGCTGGTGGCGTTGACTCTACTCAAAGAGCCTGGGCAAAGTCAGGACAGCCACTTGTCACAAACCCTGTCTGGAGCATGGGCTCTCTCAGACCCATCCTCAAGGAACAATATTTGAAATAAAGTTGACTGTTTCAAGATCTACAATGAACACTGTCATCTACTTCTCTGTGTCCGTTTCAGAACCCAACACCATTAAACTAGCACTGACCAGATCGCCTGTGCTTCAAATTGCTACTTAGGAGGATGAAGGACAATAACCCTAGGGATACTTTCAGTCACACTGGATTTTGAGCCCTGGGTAATACAGCCTCTTCAAGAACTGAGTTTGCTATGACAGTTTTTCCTGGTCCCGCAATACCTTCGCTCTCAGGGCTGCTCTAGAGAAGTAATGTCACACAAGAGGGGTCAGGTTCCAGGATGATTTACACTAACCCTATCTTATGTACAACTTGGATTAATGAGGAAGAGCGTGGCATTTAGGTGGGCAGCTGTGGGGCCCTTTCCATTACGATGCCTGCTTAAGCCTGGCCTCTAACAGTCAGACTTGAGTTAAATTTAAATTCCAGGCTTGCTGCTGACCAACTCCCTAAGACCCCGGGCTGAGGAAGAACTAGCTAAGCTCGAGAAGGGAGGTGAGGAGGAACACAAGGACCATTGTGAGATGGTTTCAGCCCAGCACACAGCAACCCCCGAAACCTTCTTTTGTGACTCTGCCAACACTAATACCACGGTTCCCTCAACAAAGCCATGAGACTCTGGCAGAGGACACCTGTGTGTCTGTGTGTGTGTGTGCGCGCGCGCACCAGAGGTAAGTGAGTGGGTGGATTCTGCATGTGGATAGAAAGAACACTTCTAATAAAGGTCTGGTGAAAGTGATCAGGAAGTGCCAGAGCCTACAGAAGGTTAGTGGGTTCAGCAGTGACCACTGTAAATGATCAACTGTGATAGGAACTCAGAAAAAAGGTCCTTTACTACTCAACTCATTCAGAGCTCCTCTCTCTCAAACCACACACCAGTAACACCCTGCATAAGAAATTACAATAAAATCCACACACACCTTTCTTTTAATAAATAAAAGCATATTCATGGTTTAGATTTTAAATCACATTTACAGATGAGGAAAACCTCTAGGCGTAACTAGGTAAGAGTGAAGCTACTAGCGTTGGAAGGAATGCATGCCCACATGCGCTGTAAACCTAAAGTGCAGACCTGAGGATAAAGAATACCATGCACGTCTCTCTAGACCAGAGAACTGGGGGTGGAACGAGCAGAGGACAGTGGAAGTCATGCAACCACCATCTGATCCCTTCCCATCACGCTGCAGGACCAGCAGAATGGTGTGCTGCTTCTGGATGGACTAGAGGTAGGTTCCCAACTGATTTAAGGGTAACTCACTCCTATTGGTAACAATTAGGCCAGGGGCATTAGCTACAGTAGGGTACGCCACTGATAAATACAGAGCAATATTAGAACAGCATAGAGGAGGTTACATAGATAATCTTGGTTCTTCAATATCAGAAATCTCCCATGTCTTATCAGTAAAGTGGAATGTACTCCATCTCCCAAATGCTTAGTCCAAAAACTTCCTGTTGGCGTTAGCACCAAACAAGGCTCCGCGTACCTCAGGCATCATCTGTGAAGAAACAATTTTCATTAATAAGTGTTGCCAGTTGGAGAACATGGACAGAGCTGCCCATCTTAACTTCAGGCAGAAGGCCCACCCCTCTGTGTCTGGGAAGAGAAGCCACATGGTTAAGTACATCCAGTATGTTTTCCTCTGATGTGAAGCATTTTAACAGAGTCACTGGTAAGAGTGAACTGATGACACATTTGGAGGGAAGACCCACTGCCATCGAGTCACTTCTCACAGCAATCCTAGAGGATAGAGGAGAACTGCTCCTCAGGGTTTCTGAGGCTGGAAATGATTATGGGAGCAGAAAGCCTCATCTTTCTCCCCGGAGGTGGCATATCCATTATGTGCTCTCTGTTTGCAGTGACTGAACAGAAAACTGAAAATTCAAGTTTATGCAGAAGTACAGTGAAGTACTTGTTATGACAAATGAAAACTCCTAAGGAGAATTCAGTTTCAAACGTCAATGGCTATGTGTGGTTACTGAACACTTGCAATGTAGCTAAGCTGACTGAGAAACAAAATTTTCAATTTTACTCAATTTAAACAGCCAGATATAAATAGTGATTGTTATACTGGGCAGCACAAGTCTGAGGTTTTAAAGTTGTAGAAAATGATACTCAAGGCTCAAGTGTTTTCAGACAAGCACTTGTACAACAGCACATGACTCTTCTAAGTTAGGGAAAACTGAGTTCGCAACCACAGCAATAGGTCACCATTATTGACTGGTATTTGGGAACAACTGGAATTTCCCCAGCTTGTTTGCCAGAATTAATTTAAACAAACCTGGAAACAGAGGAAGACTCAGCAACCCTACAGCATTTTTTTGTTAAACAAGTGTTTACTTTAGTTCCCATTATCTTTGCTAGAGAGAGGACGCCATCCCACATGTGGTGAAATGTACATACAGGTTAGAGTCCAAGATGAACAAAACTCTTGATCTGACCCCAAATCCTTCCTCAGGTCAATACCTAATTCTCATTCCTTTTAAGAACATGTGAAGGATGAGAAACCTCAACTATTAGTGAATAGACACGTGTTCTCTGTGTCCCCTCAAAGTAATAGCACGCCAACTATCAAGATGTATCCCACTCACCTGCTGAGCTATGAGATCCAGGCGGCTTTCAAGGGTGTTGGAAACCTTTATTTTACGATCCCCATTATAGATTTCAACACCACCAGCTCTACAGACAACAAAGGAAATAATCATTTTTACCAATGTGAGGAAGCCAGAAATACGCGTGGTTCATTTATTTGATCCCCTTGGAGAAAAGCACTTTTGGTGTATGGAGTTCCTGAATACTGCAAGGAGCCAATAAGCATAAGACACAGACTGGGAATTAATTTGAAAAAAGCTTCTGACAAGTAAGGTATGTGTCTTGACAAGCCCCATTTACTGGGTGTCTGCTATTTGCAAATTTGATTTTATGTTACAGTACCTCATTTAATTCTAACAAAACAAAAAGGGTGGGATTTAGTTCCAGTGTGTAAATCAATAGATAAAGGTCACAGCTTTACCTGTCCAAAATGATTATGAAATGGCTTCACTAACAGTCCTTACCGGAACCTTTTTTTTAAAAACGCCAGTACTGCTTTAATAAGGCAACTCGTAACTGTTTTGCGTATAAGATGAAAGGTACACTGCACCTTTGTCTAATCTCCCCCTCCGACAGTCCTGCTATTCCATTCCTCAAAGTTCCTCAGCACTCCGAACCCATAAGGTCAACAGTGAGATTCTACTGCAGGGCACCTCAGGGAATTAGAATTTGCTGCATTAGAACCTGTTTCTGTTTCATCTATCTTCAGTTGCTCTAAGCAGATTCTATTCTTCAGAGACACACGGTTAGTTCTTTGCTGAAATCCTGGCCCAATGTCTGTAATAAAATTCTTAATCCTTCTCAGGGGAGGAAGGGAAGGAAGACTTAACAGGAAATAAGAATGTCTACTGTATGCTAGACACTCACTAGATATGAAGGCGAGGGCGTCTCACCTTATTTTCACAATAACCTTCAGTTTCATACCATCCTCAGTATTTTAAAACAAAAGAGCACTGAGAGAAAAAGCAGCCAATAGCCTCAAGTGGATCACCACCACATCCCCAGTCACTGTGGCATCAGAGCCCCTCAGAAGAAACACACTGATCTAGGCCAGTGTGAGTCCTTGCTCTCCTTGAAAGAACACTAAAAGCAGGGAATGCGTGCTTACATGTCCTCAGGCAGGTAGGCCTCCTGATCAATTTGAACATCAACATCTTTTTTGGTGGCGATTTTGTACATAGGGATTGCTTTTTGCACCGCAGCCTAGAGAAACAAAGCAATGAAAGGTTTTGCAGCAAACTATGGAGCAGGTACCCCCCAAAATCAACAGTCTAAGTATACAAGTAAGGACTACTGTCTTGTTACTAAGTGCTGTTGAGTCGGTTCCAACTCAGAGCGATCCTGTACAGGGTTTCCAGGGCTTTTAAATCTTTGAGGGAGTGAAAGCCTCATCTTGTTCCCATGGAGTCGCTGCTGGGCTCAAACTGCTAACCCTGTGGTTCACTGTACATTACTTGTGCTATAAAGCCAGTGTCCACTGCTGTAACTACAATTAGTGAGGCATAAGTTAGTGGACTGTCCTGCTTTGACCGATATTATACATACTCTTTTGCTTTCATTAAGGACTGTCCAACTCAGCATATCTGAGGTTGTTTCTGAGGAGCAGCTGGTGGGTTTGAACAGCTGAGATTATGGTTTACAATGCATTGCTTATCCTACAGTGCCAAACTTGGAGTCCGTATGTACTCTAGTCCACACACAAGGAACATTTTCTTGAAAGAGTTGAAAGTACTTAAAATATTTTTCTCTGAAAAGATTAGGAGTGGAACCAATTGATGCATATATTTACTTCTTCACTGCTCCTCAAATCTAATGGAGTATCACTTTAGGGAACTGCTCATTGACAATGGACACCATGTAAGTGTCTGGAAAAAACAGCAGTATCACTGTACCATTGAGGAGTCTGCTGGCAACTCAGGCCTCCACAGAGTGGCATGGCCTTGGTGCATTCTCCATTCTCATATCTAGGTTCCTGTTTTATGGGTTCATGAACAGGCTATCAGCACAAACATGGATCACTGAGAGCACCTTTATGGTGGAGAGTATATAAGGGGGATTCAAAAAATTCACTGTCTTTTCATTCCATTTTTCTACAAACTTTCTGTAGTCCCGTCAATACCTGTGGGGAATGAACCACACCTATGTTCTCCAGCTAGTACATTTTCTTTCTCAGGACATACATTACATGAGGAGACAAATTATAATAAAAATGTAAATGTATGTGTATTATAAAGGCATTAATCTATAATATGGCATGGAATCACCAGGGAACTAACGACTCACATCTTGGCCTTAAAGCAAACTCGTGGAAAAAGTAACAGAGCAAAGGAACGCAGTTAACCAAACCCAAACCTGTTGCTGTCAAGTTGAATCAGGACAGAGGAGAAGTACCCTAGAGGGAAGCAGGCAGCCACACCTTTCTCTCATGGAGTGGCTACAGAGTTCAGATCACTGACCTCTGGGTTACAGCTGAGGGGAGTCAATGACATGATTTAAAGTTCCTTCTGTCTGGAGCATTCACGTCTTATTACAACATGGCCAGACAGTGTCTCCCTCAGTTACAAGGATGGGGCCTGCATGGGAGGGTATCTTCTTCACTGCTGACCAACCTCCTTTCTGGTAACCACATTGATTCTGTAGGTATGGGAATATGTTTAACTGGGTTAGAGCCAGGACTTGCTGGCCTGGGAGTAGTTAGCCTCTTTAAAGTAGTGTTATCTACACTGGCCACAATCTAACAGACACTGCTTTTATTATTGATCTTTAGAAGACGATGGCATTAGAAAAGTCCTATAAAGGGAGCAGGGCACTGCCACAGGTGGCAACTTATTAGTAGCTTCAGTAAGATTATATGAACAATCTCCACAGTGTGCTTTTGTTTGTTAAGTGCCGTCGAGTCAGTTCCAACTCATAGTGACCCAGTATAAGGTTTCTGAGGAACAGCTGGTGGATTTGAACCACCAACCTGACAGTTCAAACTGACCTTGTGGTCCAGTGCTTACCCTACAGGGCCACACCAGGACTCCTAGACTCCTCAAATTTCTATGTTTGAGATGTCATCTATTATAGAACCTTCTGATCTTTAAAAAAAAAAAAGAGAGATTTCTTCTAAGCTCTTTACCTTTACCAGAGGGAAATCCTGTTTCCGGCAACGAACAATCATTCGGGGTTCCAGCAGCTGGTATAAACCCTACAGAACACAATCAGATGTCACTGGTAGGAAATGTAAACCATAAAATACAACAGCAGTATAATACCTGGTGTGGCGCTGTAGGCTAATGCATCAGACTGCAAAGTCTGTGTTTCAAGCTCGCCAGCCGCTCCTCAGAAACCCAATACAGGGTCGCTATGGGTCGGCTCCAACGCGACATAACTTCACAACAACATAGTTCTTTTCAGAACATGGCAAGATCCTGGTGTCACGAATCAGATAAAACTAACACTGCTCTACTTGTTGTCGTTAAGTGCTGTTAAGTCGGATCCAACTCACAGTGATCCTGTACAGGATTTCCAAGGAGTGACTGCTGAACTTGAACCACCAACCTTGCATTTCAAATTGACATTGCAGTCCAGTACATAAACTCACAGCGCCACACCAGGACTCCAAACAACACTGCTCTGGTGGTACACACAAAATTCATTTGGGAGTCTTGTCTTACATCAACCAGGTTGAGGACAAGGATTGCAATTAACCTATGTATGTAAAGTAAAACATGCATCCACAGCCTGGCAATAAGCAATACAAACGTATAAACTCTGGTCCAAACCCCAATATGGAAGTATTTTAGTGGAGGGCTCAAGTTAAGGATATTTAAAGCTGAAGGTTATAAGCAAATCAGACTCTTAGGGTCACAAAAGCCTGGAAGTCTTATCAGAGCACAGAGATGTTAACACATTTATCAGACAAGGAAAAGGAAAAAAAGCTGAGAATAAAAGAACACAGCGGATCTCTAAGAAAGCCTGTGATGTTTCTATCAGTTGTGGTTGGAGCTTGTAGCCCCGTCTTGGAAATGTACCTGGAGGACCAGTCCATCCAGCAGCACTTGGTACCTGGTTGTATCTTTCACCACCTTGCTGAGTCTCTGTTTTGCTTCATTGAGTAGGTCCTACAAAGAAAGGAAAGAAAAAGTTATTTACACATTGTGGTCCTATCTCATGCCCTACTGCTTCACATTTCATTGCTGGGTTTTCATTCAGTAAATAACAAGCCAGAGTCTCTTCTAAATGTTGATACGGGAAGCATGAAGCACCAGATCCGCTCCCAAGAAGTTCACGGACTAATGGAAGAATAGCTCAGGTACCCATCACTTCAGATATCTATACAACTGACTCTCATGGAAAGATCTTATAATAGTGATTTGAAAAGCAAACTACTGAGACACTTGCAAACTATGATCCCCCTTTTATTAGGAAAACAAACCAGAAGATGTGTATATTAGACCACAATATCAACAACACTTACCTCTGGGAGGCTGGATTACCAATGACTTTAATTTTTTTTAGGATACTTTGTACTTCCTAATTCACATGGTATTGATGTGTAACAAATTATCAGGTTTAATGCCAAACCAATCAGATAATCTAGCTATGGTTAAATACCCTCTCTAGATGCATATATATGTAGTTGTTGTTAAGTGCCTTCAAATCCGTTCTAACTCATAGCAACTCTGTATAGGGTTTCCAAGGAGCAGTGGTAGCTTTGAACCACGGACCTAGTGGTTAGCAGTTAAGTGCTTATCCTACATCACCACACCAGAATGCACCATTATGCCCACAAACATACTGCCACTGAGTCGATTACAATTCATAGTGACCCTATACAGGTTTTCCAAAACTGTACATATTTTCAGGAGCAGACAGCCTCATCATTCTCCCAAGCACTGGCTGCTGGATTTGAATCACTGATGTTACAGTTAACAGTGTACCCTACTATGTTACTGTGGTTAGCAGTCAAGTGCTTATTCAACAGTGCCACACCAGGACTCCATGCACTACTATAGAAATATTTAAATTGTGGTTAGACAACTTTAAGAATTTCATGAAGATAGTCTGAGGATCCATGTCATTCTAGATTGTAATGAAGACTATTAAATTTCTATTTTTTGAAAAATCAAATAAGATGATTGTTTTAAATATATACGTAGATAGATATATGTATGCTATATGCCTTAATATAATCTTCACCAGATTAAACATTGAAAGAAAATCCTTACATTGCACATTACTATAACTCAAGAACATCCTGGTTAGGAACTTAGCTGCTAACCAAAGGGTTGATGGTTCAAACCCACTCAGTAGCTCTGTGGGAGAAAGACCTGGTGATCTGCTTCCATAGATTACAGCCAAGACGTCCCTGTGAACAATTCTATTCTGTCACATGGGATCACTAAGAATTTTAAATCAACTGGAAAACACTTAACAACAAGACATCCAAATCTAAGCGAGAGATAAAAATTCAGCGAAGGTATACTCAATTTAGCTTTTCATATACTGGGAATAAAGACTAATAAGCACAGTAAAAAGTGAGTTATTTGCAGAAAAATAAATGTAAAAAAAGGTTCCTCTTCCTCATTTAAAAAATAAGCCAGTTGACTTCTTTCAGCCCCAAATGCAAGGATTCAAAAGATCAATCCTTTCTCTCTATTTCAGAAACTTTGAACACTTTTAATGTTTTTCTTCTTCGATTTCATTCTACATTAGAATACATAGTCTGTCCCCAGTCCAAACATAATTTAATGTCATTCATTGGTCCATGAATCACAGTGTCATTCACTTTATGTAAATTAAACAGAGCACACCATTCCTGAGAGCCATTCCAGAGCAGGGAGAGAAGAGCTGCAATACTGGAGATGGTGAGAAGTAGTAAGAGGAAAGAAAGGAGTATTGTAACCATTTAAAATAAACTTTGAAGTTAAGGCTTTAATACACAGATTCCATTTTTTCCTTAAACATCATTCCTTATTACATTCCACAAAAAATTGATAAAATGCTTAAAATGCCCTGGGTAGTTTATAAGATTTTAGTTTATTAATAAATCAAAGCGATAGAAAATGCTCCTTTACTGCTTTTTGCTTATTAGAACCCAAAGTAGGCAGCCTTTATTAACAGTGCCCTCTTTAAGGGAAAGGCCCAAGTAACTGGAAAATATTACACTTTGAAGTCTAATCCAAGTTAGGCACACGTAGCTATCAAGCAAAGCCAAGTACTTTTAAAGTGAGCAACAAAATGTCCAAACAGAACAATCATTCTTCCTCTTCTTCTAAATACAATCATGAGATGATAAGTTACTTTATTTTCCCCATTGGTGTGATCATCTAAGTGGTTAAGCTAGTGGTGGCTCAATTTCACTTCCTTTCAGTTCTTGGCCAGCTTTTATCTTAAGCTGACCGAGGTATTTCTATGACAACAGCTACTAAAGGAACTCACTAGAGAAACTGGCAGGCCATTATCCTTCTCACTACATTGTATGTGACTTGCTTTAAGATTTTTCTAGTCCCCAGTGACTCAAGAGAAAGTAGAAAATCTCAACATCTTCCCATGGCAACAGCCCTTCTGAAGCATATTCTCCACCAATCAGACTTAACCACCATAGCAAGAAATCTTTACACAGTAGTCCACGGTTCACAAAGATGGAGACCGAAGACAAAGGGTTATAATTCTGAGGGAGACCAGAAATGTTAAGAAGCAATGACAAAAAATAATGTGAAAAATATCTAAAGTTCAAAGGAAGAATATGGTCCTTTGTTTTGTTTTTAAAAAGGTAAGAAAATTGCTTTCTGGGATGTTACAGAAACTGGGCAGAAAATGCCTTAAACTTTTCAGAATTAAAATTTCTATATGAACACCATTAAGACAGATAATAAATCAATTTCTAGCTTTAGGTGTCCACCAAAACAACCTAAGCTCTAGAAATATTATTAACTAAATATTAATGGCCCAGAAAATTTAGGAAGTTTATAGGCACAGGAATAGATGCATACATGATATACAACATTTAGGTGAAAAAGATTTCAGCCCTTCTCTACCAATAGATCCCTCAAGCAATTTTCTCTTTGTGCTGGAACCAACCAGTCAATACTGGCCATGTAAAAGCATAAGAGTACGAAGATAGGTTTGCTCTGAGAGAGTAACATTACATACATTCGACTTGCAAAGAGCAGAATCAGTCATCTGTACAAGTAATCCACTTTGGAAAAATGATCTAGAAATGGATAGTTAAACACCACTCAAAATGCCAAGGATGTAAGGAGGTCTGAGTAAACTCAACTTCAACTAAGAAGGCTGAGACCTAATGAATACTGTTGGTGTTAAGTGCCGTTGAGTCAGTTCTGACTCACAGTGACTGTATAGGGTTTCCGAGGAGGGGCTGATGGGTCTGAACTCCTGACCTTGTGATTAACAGTGCAGTACTAATCCTACACTGCCACACTACCACACTTAAACAAAGGAGAGCCATTCCAGAGCAGAGAGAAGAGCTGCAACACTGGAGATGGTGAGAAGTAGTGACCGAGAATCAGGGATAGCAGAGGTAGCAGAAGCAGGAGAGAGACACATGTAGCCCACGGAGCCAGAAAACTGAGCAGTTTTCAGGCAGGAGGCTTGCTGGTGGATTGTGTGCCTCCAGATACTTGGCAGAGCTGGACTCCTTGACTCAGGGAACAGGAACACTAGCATATTCGGGGCAAGGCCTTCTGGTATAGTGGGGTACCTCTGGGCACACACTGGTGAAACTAAAAAGCTTCCTAACACTGGCTGGAACAAGGCAGAGACTAGGTCAGCCCAGGGGCCAGCTGGGCATGAGTGAGCAGCTGTCCTGACTGAAGAACTATATCCTGAGTCATTCCTGACCCTGAACTTTAACCCAACAGACCCCATAATAGTGAGTATTGCCCATGAGTTCAATGTGGACACTGTAATGAATGACTGAAGCTGCAGAGAAGTGTGAGTGGCATGAGGGACGTCTGGGGTCGGAATCGGTGAACATATTTTGGAGAGAGAAGTATGCCTGACCTCTGCTTCACAGAAGTCAGCTTTGGGCTGATGTCAATGGTGATTCTCTCTTCTCCTTGAGAAGTCAGAGGAGGTTAGATGATGAACCATTATCACAGATGACAATAGCTAAACTATGTCTCCTTTGTCCTACCTAGTCTGAGGGGTTAACTGGACTCTCATCTCTCTTTAACCTTAACCACACTGAAAGTTCTACTTCAGGGCTAGTGAAATTAGAATTAAAACAGGGCTTTTAAATTTTCCTTTAAAAAAAAAAAAAAATTGCATACGTTATGAGGGTTGGGAAAAAGATAATACAGAACTACCATTTATTCAACAACTGTTGTGTGAGGTGGTGTACTGGCCATATACTAGGATTTCTCATTTAATTCTAAGTAACCTGATGTAGCAACGAAAGACTGCTAACCAAAAGGTCGGTAGTTCAAAACACAAGCGGCTCCTTGGAAACCCCATAGGAGGTCGTTATGAGTTGGAACTGACTTGAAGGCACTTAATAACGACAACCTTCAGGTACAGTTTTCCAGTGTATAGGAAATGCAGGGTCAAGAAGATTACAAGGGGTTAAAAAAATACCCAAACATCTGGTAGCGGTGATATAAAAATTGAAATCCCAAGTAGATTCCAGAGCTTACGCTCGTAAACCTGGAAAACATCTGGAAAGGCAAGGGGAACAGGATAAGCAGTAGGTAGAGGAAAACAACTAAAGGACCACGTGACTTAAATCAAAATAGCAAACAAATTCCCCTTTTCTTTTCATTTTTATCCTGTATTTTCCCCTTCCATCTTTTGTCAATGTCTGTTTCTATCTAACTGTTTGACAACTCCCCTTCTTTTCACCATTTCTCAATCTATGGATATTATGGTGCAGCTGAATTACTTGATATGACTATTCTAGTCATAGTCTTTGTAACACCGCTAAATGAGTACGTGGGGCCATGCAAAGAGGGTGTAGGGATTGGTCAGTTTTGACATTCTGCTAGGTTTAAAATGAGTCATCTCAGAAATGGAAAAGGGGGATCTTGTGCCCATCAAAAAAGAAGAGTTAGGAGTGGAGTATGTCTTTTGGAGCCTGAGGTCCCTGCACTGAATCTCTTAGATCCAGGAGCAAGAGCTGTGATACCAGAGAAGTGGTGGAGGCAGAGGCGGAAGCAGCACCAAGAGCACGAGACAGAGTGGTGGCTTCCTGAGTGTCTTTGGGTGGGAGGCTCGCTGAATCAGGAGAGCCAGAGTCAAGTGCCTTTGGGCTGAGGCTTGTGGCTGCCTGGTGTGCGCTTTAGGCATTTATCTTGTGGACAGTGCTACAGGAACTTTGTAACATTATTCAAGCAGGGCAGAGGCCAAGGCCAAGGGGCCACATGGCTGAGGTCAAGGACCACAGAGAGGCATCCCTGACTGAACTGTATCCTGAGCAGTTTTTATCATGAATTGTAGCCTGTTAATTTCCCTTTCTGTTACATATAAATATATATCAATTCAGTTCCCTAACCCAGGCCTGTTGATTGTTCTTGATCTGTTCTATTCCAGTCACTCATCACAATCAGAAATGCCTTCTGAAAGCCAAACCAGTATTTACTTATTTAAAAGGATTTAAAGCAACTTACAGAAAACAAAATTTAGGTTAAATATCAAAGTTAATTTGGAAAAAAACCCAACAGATATAGTTAGTTAAAACTTACTTACTCCATAATAACAGTGAATAGAGGCAGTCACTATTCAACTTCTAGACTAAGTGGTAAATCTCTTTAGGTTTCTGCCCTCCTCTTCCTTGGATGACTGCAATCCTCACCAACCGGTTTTCCTGTTTCTAACTTCTTCCGTATTACTAACCAACAGACTCATATCATGAGTCCTACTTATGAGATTCCCCACAAAAACACGACAAAAACAACTTTAATGACTTCCATCAAAAACAGGTGACACTCGTTAATCTTGTGTTCATGGTCCCTATACTAACTGCATCCTACCTCTCCAGTTTTATTAGACTTACTAGTCCCTATTACCCTCATAGTAATTTTATAACTAACAGAGGTAATTACTCACTGAGATAAGGTCATCTCTCGCTCTGAGGACTTTCAGTCTTGCTTGATTCATCAAATTGGACATCTGACTGCAAAAGGGTAAAGAAATAGTATCATTAGAGCATAAGTATATATATATAAATAAAAAATAAAGTTGAACTACAAGGTCAGCGGTTCAGTCTCACCAGCCACTCCTTGGAAACCCTATAGGGTTGCTATGGGTCGGAACTGATTCGACGGCACTTAACAACAAAAAATATATATATTGTATTGAGCGAATGTATTGTATTTGGCGAATCTGCTACAAAAGACCTCTTTAGAGGGTTTAAAGAACCAGGATGTCACTTTGAGGTCTAAGATTCACCTGACACAAGCTACAGTATTTTTAATCACCTTACATGCATGTAAACGTTAGACAGTGAATAAGCAAGAGTAAAGAAGAATTGATGCCTTTGAATTATGGTATTGGTGAAAGGTATTCTGGTATTGCTGCCAGAAGAACAAACAAATCTGTCTTGGAAGATGCTGAATATGACATCAAGAGGGACCAGTCCCTGGAAAAGGACAGTGTGCTTGGTAAAGTAGAAAGTCAATGAAAAAGTGGAAGACCCAACAATTTCCTACAATTTTAAGGATGACGCAAGAGCAGGTAGTGTTCTACTCTGTTGTACACAGGGTTACTGTGAGTTGGAACCAACTTGACGGCACCTAACAGCAGTACTGACTTTATCACCTTCTAAGGAGCTCTGGTAGCGCAGTGGTTACAAATCGGGCTGTAAACCGCAAGGTCAGCAGTTTGAAACTACCAGCTGTTCGGGAGAAAGATGAGGCTTTCTGCTTCCGTAAAAATTTACAGCCTTGGAAACCCTATACAGGGTCACTATGAGTCGGAACCGACTCTATAGCACATAACCATCACCAAGGAGCTCTGGCACTGTAGTGGTTATGAATTGGGCTGCAAACCTCAGCACAGCAGTTTGAAACTACCAGCTGTTCCGTGGGAGAAAGATGAGGCTTTCTGCTCCTGTAAAGATTTACAGCCTCAAACCCTGTACAGGGTCACTATGAGTCGGAACCGACTCCATGGCACAAAACAACAACAGTACAACAAAAATTTGATACATGACAAATATATTTCTAAGGACGAACTTTGTATTTGAAAAAACAGGAAGGATTTATTGAGCACTTTCATACCTACTATCCCAGTTAATTTTTCGATAATCCTGTAAGGCTTCCATTTTCACAAAGGAGGAAAACAAAGTTAAGCAATAGGTCCAAGGTCAGAGAATGAGTACAGGAGTCAGGGCCTGAACCCTACCTGCCTGACTCCTCCCATGCTTCTGTTCTGCTGTTCTGTCCACCTGTCCCACAAACCTTTGAAAGTTTTATTGTTTTTGTTTTTTTACTTTTTATTGTGATTTGGGTTGAAAGATTCTTTAGCTTAATATTGTGACAAGGATCTACTTACATTTTCTTCTGCTGCTCAATCTGCTTTTCTTTCTTTTCATAATATTCCATAATCTTCAGTCTTTGGGTTTGCACAAGACGACCTTTCTCAATGTTGAACTCTTCTTCTGCCTACCAAAGAATTCATACCGATGAATTAATTTCACCCTAATATATGTAACAAACATTTCCTGTCTCAGTATTTTTCCCTGGTACCATGCAATGACATTGTGTTCATGACACAGTGCAACTATTACCATTCTTCATCTCAAACATTTTCCAGCGCCCTTAACAGCAGCTCAGTGTCCTCTAAACAGTAACTTCCCGTTCTCCTCTTGTCTGCTCCTGGTAACTTTTCCACAGTCTAAATATTCCACATAAGTGGAATCTTGCAATTTGACTTATTTAACTCAGCATCATGTTTTCAAAATGTGTCTATTGATGGGCATTAGGTAGTTTCTGTCTGTTGGTTATTGCTAAAAGTGCTGTAATGAACACTGGCGGACAGGTATTTATTTTGGGTTCCACTTTTGCTTCTTTTGGGGATGTGCATCACACCAGATTTTTTTTTTTTTTTAACTTTTTTTTTGTGATTTGAGTGGACGTTTACAGACAAGATCATCAGTTTTACATTCAACAACTCCTACATTTTGTTTCATCTCAAAGACTGCAATCCCTTCCCTGCAACAACAGTTATCCGGCTTCCTCTCTGTGGATCTTATTTCCATTCCACCCTCCTTCCCATCCCTTCTCACCTCTGGCCTTAGGTAAATGTTTATTGCCCATTCCTTGGTAAGGCTACCTTACTAGTGTTATTCTCTCCCCTATATACTTATCTGACGTCCTTGTGTGGCGCTATGGGTTAATGCGCCAGACTGCAAAGCCATTTGAACTGCAAGGTCGGTGGTTCAAGCTCACCAGCTGCTCCTTGGAAACCCTATCAGGGTCGCTATGGGTCGGAACTGACTCGACGGCACTTAACAACAACAACATAGACCAATCTGCTTACTTCTTGGCTGAAAATTGAGCCACACGGTGAGTTCCATTACAGATATGGGATCAAGGGTCAGTGTCTCAGACTTCTCCACCCTCCTTCTAACCAGTAAGCTTGGTTTTGTTTTGTTTTAAATAATTCTGAGTTTTGTTCCCCATTTTCTCCCACTCTATCCAGGACCTTCTAATATAATCACTTTCATAACAGTTGGTAGAACCTTCTCGTTTTGAAGTCACAGTCATGGTGATTGATGTTTACTTGCTCCACTGGTTCACTGGACTAGTTAACTGCAAACATTTTCATTTATCATCACTTTTCTTTCTTCCACATAAGGTGAGATCAATAGTTACACCTTAGATGGCTTAAGCTCATCAGCTTTTAAGATTCCAGTCACTGCTTACCAAAGTAGGCTATAGAACATTGTCTTTGTGAACTATGTGATGCCAATTGACCATGGTGCTCCCTGAGACTATGATCCTAATACCGGCAGCCCAGCAACTCACTGCTTTCAGATGTTTATAACTTCTAAGAATTTTCATCATTTTGCCCGCTGTATGCTCTACCACATTCATAGTTGTGTTTGCAGGAAAGATACAAGTACCCATGTACAAATAACCTCTTTCAAACCCTTAAAAATGTGTGTGTACTCCCACTCTCCCTCCCATACCTGTTCAACCTGTGTATCTGTCCATTATCTACCTACAGAACAGGGTTGCCTCACACCAGATTTTGAAGAACAGTTTTATTTTTAAGGAGCTGGTGATAAGGGTTTCTTTATGATCTTATTTAATATCTAGAACAGGGAGTCTACTGGGTCTCTAGTCTTCAAAAATTACATCTAATTTATTTCAAAAATAAAGACCAGGAATTTTTGTTATGAACAATGAGTCAGAAAACATAAACTTGAATCAAGTATAAGAGCATCCAGCAACAAAGTTACGAAAGACACAATCTAATAGAAGACTGACTGTGTTCATGGAGACAATTACTGGGTATTCTAAAGTTAATCCATCTGCTTACTAGTGGGATAATGAAAAGACCACAGAATTTACCATTTACAAGATCTGGGTTACTGCTCATGAAGTCTGATTAAGTAATCTCAGTGTCCTCTCTTATAAAATGAAATAAAAGTGGTATTCTTTCTTCATACATTAAATAAACAAGGCAAATGTAAGATCTTTTAAAATTATAAATCATTATAAAAACTTAAATTGTTAGCTTCATCAGTGTAAATTATTGAGGAGTTATTTCTTCATGATTTTCTTTTTTTGTTTTTTTTTTGTCTTTGTCTTCATGATTTTCAACAGTAAAAAATTATAATTTTAGAAAAGTTAGCTAACGTTGTTGATCTGGACATTTAATATTGGGCATAGGTACTTGAGCTTTTCAATCTTAAACTACATGAATAAGAGCTCAGATCTGTCTCTATCACTGGAAATAAGTATAGATGGAATACTAGCTAAGACTCCTTAAAATAGGAGTGCATTCACCATCTATGATGGGTATGTGATGGTTAATGTTATGTGTCAACCTTGCTAAGCCCTGATTCCCAGGATCATGTGATTGTCATCTGATGTAATTACCCTCTGTCTTATGTGTTGTAAACCCTCACCTCTATATGTTAATGAGCCAGGAGCAGTGTGGGGTGTATCTTGAACCACAGCCTTACAAGACACAGCTTTACTCAACTCTCATCCTTACAGAAGTCCTGTCCTTACTCAAACCACACTCTTATTGGGATGTAAGGGGAGTTTCATCCAATAGGTACCAGTGTGACCTTCATCCAGTGTGTGTATACATATATACACACACACATATACACATGTATGTGCGTATGTATATATATGTATGTGCGTGTGTGCATGTGTAGATATATGTATACAAAC